GTCTGTGGCAAATTAAATCCTTACAGCTTTATTCCATAATGGTAATAAAATAAAAAATAAAAAATAATAAAAAAAGAAGAATCTGTAGATGCATGTTTTAAATTATTCCCTTAAGCCTACACAGATCTGCTGTATGACAAATGTGGGAGGTTGAGTTTTGAGTGAGAGTAGCTTATATGCCAAGGAATGGAGGGAAACAAAAAAAAATGACAAAGAATACATTTAATAATAGGAAAGAGGATGTTAGTTAATTTAATTTACTCATTCTTATAGTTTCTCTTCTCTATGTATAGTGGTCCCATTTTTACATCTTTACATCATAGACAAACAGGCATTATTTGAACTAAAAGAGCCTGCTGATAATTGTTTAGTTTGCTTTTTTTCATCTTTTCTGATGATCTTATCTTTTTATATCATACTTTGTAGAGTAAACCAGAACATTTTACTGATCATGATATTTTTAAAGTGCTTGTCACCTTGATTTCACAACAGAATAAATTCAAGAACAGTAGTGTAACACATCGTTAACTAGGTTATTTTTGCTGCCTACATGATGCAGACCTAGCCCTGTATTTGTCTAAGTACCTTAAATTTGCAAGTTACAATAAAATATTTCTATGACTAATACATTTTATTTTTTAAAATAGCGTTCATCTTCATTGAATATTTGTATTCACAGAATTATTCAAATAAGAATGAAATATATACTTTCATAGACTGTTCCACAGGTCTTCAAAAAGTGCTTGGGAAAGGACATGCAAGTAATAAGCCAGCAGTAGTAAACAATGTGACATCTGAGGGATGTCATATTTGTCAGCCTAGTATCTAACTTCTTTGACTGCTGTCCAATGAGGATAACACACAGACCTTTTCATACCACAAAACACTAATTAGCTGCCATAAGTCTTCTTTGTGCTACTAGTTATGAATATGAATGTAATTCATATTCTTATTCATTTTTCTAAGTGACAGCTTTAGAATTCTTCCCATTTTGCATGTAGACACATCACATGTGAATGTGCTAAATGAAGTCAATAAGCCAAGGTAAAATGATTTCTACATTTACAGTGAAGGTAAAAGGGAGACACAGGTCACCGCTACTGAACTAGTAAGTACACTCCATGTTCTGGGAGGTAACATTCCCACTATTTAACTGTTACACTCTCTTTACATCCCTTTGTTCATTACATAAAGAGTAAGCTACCTTTCTGATCCTCTCTTAATACAGTCACCCTCTTGTTTTTTTTTCTAATATTGTCCCAGCTCTACATAGTCCTCTCTACTTCAGGGATACAGATTATATGTGCCTTTCTCTACTTTGGACAATCACACATATTCGCCTTTCAGTTTAAAATCAGGAACCAAGCAACTAATTCTTCGCTGCTTTTCTTCAGTAGGGTCTTTCCTAGACACAAGAATAATATGTCTAACATTTTATTTTACTCGTGGGGTAGAATTCTTCTGATCAACATAAGAAATCAAGAGGTTAGTCTAATTACCGATAGCTTCCTACACAGACAATATGTGCTTATCAATGACAGGTCACTGACTTGCCCTAAAAAGCATTCTTTGGGTGAAATAAGTCTTCCACTGCAGAATATATTCTCTTCAGTGATTGTTAAAAAAGTTTCAGGTAACTAACTGAGCTATAACATATAACTTTCAGATGCCTAAAATGGGAGAAATTGATTCTATTCAGGCTGTCTGAATGTATATTTCTGTGAAAGGTGGCACCAGAAAAATGAAATTTAAGTTTTATTTCAGCCGTGCTCATGAGTCACAGGTGCCATTGAACAAATCAGTCCCTCTTACTTTTTCTCATATATTCTGTTGAAGACAAATCCGTTTAAAGACCAAGACTTAAATTGGCATGATAATCTGCAGCTCCCTCTATAGGAAAATTTATCTACAGAAGAATAAGATATGGACAGCATTTCCACAAATGAGGGACATGTCTCCATAACTAGGAAGACAAGCACTAATGGATTGGGAGAGCTTACATTTTATTGCAGAGTAGGCCTGCAGTTGTCAGAATTATCTGTTCTCTCATCTAGTAAAAGGATATTAGATGGTAGGTAGTTATACCCAATGATTCAAGGCTGAGTCAGGATTCAGATGCGGTAAGTTCAGATCAAAAAGGAGAGAATTTTGGTGTTACAGTACAATGTGTATCTGACAAAATCCAGAAAATACAGTAAGGAATGAAATCTAATGAGTCTTTCGTGCAAAGTATTACCAAACCAAATACCATCAAGCAAATCCAGGAAAGAGCTAAACTAATCATAAAAAAAAAAAAAAAAAAAAAGAAAAGAAACACAAGAGGAAGCTGCAGCCAGCTATGAAACAAGCAACTATATGTGATCTCGGATGTGTTTCTTGGGAAAGAAACTCTCACTGGGAAATCCAAAGTTATTTTCATCTGGGTTTAGCTGAACAGCTAGCTTGAAAGGAAACTGCTTACAGTCAAGATGACAGATATATTCCTTGTTTGCTCAATGGGATTGACCAACAAGCCAATGATCCTTTTACAGTAAATACTCCTGGGCTACTTAATAGAGTGTGTACTCTTGGTTAGCCAAAAACACCATCTGTGATTCCAAGGTGAAGTAGGCTCTTAAAGGGAAGGGTGTTTTGGGTATGCTTAGATAAGACAATGAAACAGGTTGTAACAGAATGGTAAGAATCACGTTTCTTGAAAATTCTCCAAATTAGATGGTTTGTTCTTCTGTGATGAGAGCATAATTCTGGACATGATAACACAGTGGAAATTCTCTCTGAAATGTATTTCTAACAAAACATAAAAAATTTTACATGAGTAATACTTCTGGAAAATATCACCCAACAATATGGTCAACAGTTTGGTTTAATCTCCTACTCTATGTAGGCACGGGAGTTCTTTAAAATCTTTCCAATACCTATGAAAGCAGCAGCCAAAAGAGCTGCCGCATTACATTGGTGTCAAGAACTGAATTACATCGAGGTGCAAATGCTGAGGTATAAAATGTACCTGTGCCTTATTTTGTGTTTCATTTAAATCTCTAATGAAAATGAGGACTTTCCCTTTAAAAACTCGTAAACAATAAACAAGACAAAGAGATATGACTCTGGCAAAACAGTTTTTAAAATTCCGTGTGCTGAAGTACAGAAAGAAAGGTAGAGAGAACTTCGAGCATCTGCTCATAATATCACATTCAGAATACAGTGTAATGCTCCTACTCATACACTGACTAAACTTACAGAAGTCAACAGCATTACTCATATAATTACTCACCTCTATATGACTAGGACTATGTAAATCTATACTAGACAATGAGGAGCAATGGTGTAACTCTACTATTTCACATGTTTTTTGGTGAAATGTTATCCCTTTTCCTGGGGAAATTTGCCCCCTGCTTCTCCTCCACCCTCACTCCCCTTTAATAAAATAAAAATAAATAAATAAATAAAGTCTGGTGCCCATTAAAAAATTAAAGCTGGATTAAAGAATCAGAAGGCCCTACTCACTCTGCACATTTCTCATGCCATTCCACCTCCCTCTTCCTACTTCTCCTCCCAGTCTTTCTGAGCTTTCTGTTGCTACAACGGGTCATATTTCTGCTTAGAGTGTCTGTACCTAGCTGCCAGCACTCATCCCCCTTATAGGGAGTATTGATAATGTCAAGGAATCAAGGGACTGCTGAGATGAGGTCAAGTAGGAGATAGAAATATCAGTTTGTTGAGGACAAAAAGTTGCCCTCTGTCCCTTTGGCCAGTGGAAAAATAAATAAATAAATAAATAAATACAATGTTTCCGAGTCTGAGGTAGGTGCACATACTAGAAAAATAACCACACTTCATTATTTACAATACTAAAACCATCAGGGTCTGAAGCAAAATGCTCAGAGTCATGTTAAGATTTATAGAAATTAGATTGTTTTTCTAAATGTCTTTGTTTAGATAACACTTGACAGGATCAGCTGGAAACAGCAAAATTGCTGTGCAGAAATGGGTGTACTTTTGAGATGCACAGTTAACCTCAAAGAGGAGGAAACAGTTTGTGCTGCCTTTGTTTACTAGGTTCCCTGAGAAGCAAAAATTGGCACAGGAAAGACACATTGCTCTGATCATTTTAATTAAAGCCTGTAATGCATCAGTGAATATCTAAAACCAAATGTCACTCTCATCAGCTTTTTTCTCACTCCTCTTTCTCCCAAAACATACACAGTATATGGGATGAAGAGAGCTGAAGGCCTAACCATAAACATAACCATAAAGCAGCTACGGGGCCGTTTTCAGCATTTTTAATGGGTCAAAGCATATCCAGATCTCCTCTGTCAGGTATTCTTGGCAACAGAAATTATTAGGTTCAATCTGTCTGGGAGTCCCTTCAAAAATAAATAAAATGGATCTTTCCCAGAGACAGTCTCTTTATCCCTGTCTCTTGGTGATTGACATAAAATTTCCTCGAATAAATGACTAATCAAATTTGTACACAGAAACTCCTGTTTGGCAAAACATTTGATAAAGACCAGATATATCTAGATGTAATACAAAACGTCATGATCACAAGCAGCTGGAGTGAATGCCAAGAGCTGTAGCAGAACCTCAAGCTTTATGCCAGATTAGACAGAAGTAATTGTCTTTCAGGAGAAAAAGAAATAATTCTCTTCTCAAGAGTAATTCTCTTTCCTCTCATTTCCTATATTTCTCCCCATCTTCACCACTTACTTAGGCCCCTTACAGTCTAAGGCATGCTCCCCTTTTCCTAGTGACAGTCTCTCTGCTTGTCCAACCAAAAATGCACATTTTATCCATTATCTGGGTGTTGCAGACACTATTTTATACTGCAGACTACTTCAACTTCTGTGTACAAGCATACAGGTCAGCTCCTGAAAGTTCCTGTCTATAGTGCACCTACATGTACACTAACCTGTCTTTCACATCAGGGTTTATTCAGCAGATGGTATTGATGGTTTGCTCTGGGCTGGGAATAAGGAACAAATGAACTGGAAACTTACTTACAGGAAAAAGTCTTGTTAGTAAGAAAGAAAACAAGAACAGGAATTATTCTCCCTTGATCATCTCAATTCTGAAACAAATAAGACCAGAGGAAAATTATTATAAAATAAAAATAAAATTAATAATAATTATAATAATAATAAGCTGAGAAAGTTTTTTGATGTGGAACTGGAAAACTGACAATTTTTTCCTTCTTAAAACAAATTAAAGCTATTCATGACAATAAAATAATCTCAATTATCTCTGAAATCATGAGTGGCCAAAATAAACAAATATATAGATAAACAAATAATAATAATAATATATTATAATAATCCAGAACTCTTTACACAGGGGCTGAAATTCTGAACATCAATATCAATGTATAAACTTCTACCTTGACCTACAGCTCTTAATGAATAGCTAGTATTAAAATGAACTGTAGAGTAAAAAATAAATTTGTTTAATAATGAAGTAAACATATAAAAGAGATGGAAGAAAAATCTTTTCTCCCAAAAGCCAAAATGTACAAGTTTAAGGGATTAGAATTAGTATTTATGTATAAACATTGCAACAAAACTTCAGTAAATGTTGTGGAGCTAACAGTTTGGGAACACTGAAGTGAAAAAACTGCTTCATTATGGCCCACAGTTATCCATGTAGCTGAATTGCAAATATCTAAAGAAAGGGGCGTCTTGTTTCTTTTATTACTATATCTGGGTGATACCTTTCCTCATGTTACAAATTATTGGTGAACATCAGTACACTTACATTAAATGCAAATACTAATACAGAAACCATTAAAAAGGGCAGGTTTAGTGCAAGTGAATTTAATTGTAAAAGTGAGAAAGCTGTAAAAGTAAGTATCCCTTCATATTTATCGAGATTCCTAGTACTCGTATAATGATTGTATTGTCCAATTTATCATACTGCTATGGGCTACAGACCTCAAGCAAAGTCAAATGATATTAATGGGACCTTTTCAAGACTGCCAGCTGTACCTGGAAGGCTAAAGGAATATGAATCTTACCAGATGCTTTTTCTTTGTTTCTTTTTTGATATCTTGTTGATATTGCCTTGGAACAGAGGCAAGATAAAGTGAACTCCTCGGTCTCTCTTGTCCTCTGTCTGTGATCCTGTCAGAAGTGAAGAGGAGAATGATTTCAGTGTCATCTTTTTGAGATCCTGGTATTTCCCAGCACTATACCTATCATTGTTATTCTGAAACCAGTATTAAACCATAATATGATAAAGATGTGGATATAGAAAAGTGGTTGTATGACACTGATTTTAATTGCTTATGACTTTGTTAGCCATTAAGTATTCGTTCTAGTATTTTTCATTCTTTGAGTCTCTGCGGAGCAAGTATTTCTGCAAAAACAGACCAAACTTTCCACAGATGGGAATAGATGTTATTCTGTCCAAACAAAAAGCGTGTAAATTTTTGAAAATTCAAGTACCTCTGCAGTCTGGGAAAACAAACAAACAAACAAACAAGCAAAAACCCACTTGACAAAGAATTTATCCTTTCCACATAAATGTTTTAGAATCCCATGAGATTTTCCCCAAATGTATTTTAAGATCTTTTTCTGTGGGGAATTTTGCAGATCATATCCACACTAAACATCTTCCATTCCAGGACAGCCAGGAATTCCTCCTCAGGCATTCAAGAATTGTTCCATCATTTTTCTTTTTTCTTACCTCCCCCTCCCCCCCCAACAATTATTCCTTAGGAAATAAAGAATTTGCTTGGCACTGAGTGCAGGAAATGAGAGAAATGAGGTTGTGGGGACTATGACAGTCCTAAGGGGGTCATATATTGTATTTCTTATGCAAAGGGATCTACCAAAGGTTGCATAGATAACGTTAATGTCAGTATCTGACTACATAACCATAACATTCTGTTAATTACATGTAATTTCATGTAAATCAGAAATACAAAGAACTTCTATCTAATGTCCCCCTTTTTCAGCTCAGGCTGTTCCTATTGTGTATTTGTGTTTGTTTTAGTCTTATTTTAGAAGAATGAATATTCAACTATTTCTCCTAGGAAACATTGTCATTAACTAAAAAAAAATATTTAGGGCATTATTTCTCTACTTACTGTGAGTATTCAACTTTTCTTTTTCCTTTCTTTATTTTATACGTATAAATATATATTGTGGTTTTTTTTACGTCCTTGTGAATATAGAATATAGATCTAGTCAATTTTTCTGTGCCTTTCTCTTTGCAGAGCACTCAAGCCAGAAAGGTCATAGAGCTTCTGTTGGGATAGTTCCACAGCAGTTTGTAGGGACAGTTTCTATTTGTGGGGAAAAAGCAGGAGAGAGCTGCAGAACTGATCATTGTATAAACTCTTTGTTCGTGCAGCCTCCCAGTATTGGTGGACCACAGCGATCTAGTAGCTGCTAGATGTGAATATTATAGTCTGAAAGCCACCAAGCACAACAGCTGTCAAGTCTAATACAGCCAGCATACTGCTGGAAAGCAGACACCTTGCATAATAGTTTGCTCAGCTCCCAATCCAGTTTACTTTGATGCATCTTTGTGTGCATCAAATATGTTTTATATTCTTTCATTCCTGATCATTTTATTAAATTCCATGTTACAAGTTTGACCAAACCTTCTTATGTTTCACTAGGTCTTATTTATGTTTTCTTCCAAAAAAATAAGTGTATTGTAAAGTTGGTTTATTTGCAAGGCAATGTTTAACAAAACAGTATGAGATGTATCTGATTAAAAACCCAGCCAACAATAAAGTGATTATCTTTCTGCACAGTGTGTGGTGCCATATGGTGACTGAGCAAGTGGGAAGAATAGATGCTTAATATGCAGCTCCAGTGATTTACTGTTACTGACTTCCTGTAGAAAATGACTGTTTCTTTCATAAAGACCTAATTAGTTCAAAAAGTACACGTTTGCAGTAAAATTTATATTGATAAAGTTGCCAATGCAATTTTCAAATATATTAATGATCTACAAAAAGCTCAATTGGCAGGTGTATTTTGAGCTGCCTGTCTCAATCTGCCCTGCTGACCCTGATCAGGAGAGCTGCTTGAAATAACCAGCTGTTTTACTGTTGTGTTTCTTTTTTTAATAATTTATTATGTTTATAAACTGTATATAATTGCATCAAATTAGGTAATAAATGTCTGAGCAGACTAAGCAACAACTGTATTTTCAGCTTTTCTTTTTTTTCTGCTGATAAACCTGAAGACTTTGTAAAACGAAAAAAAATAAATCCGTTCTTTCCTAAAATCAAGCGATGCTCTCTCCCTGCAACAGTATAAAAACACAAGACACCAACCTGAAATACACACAAAGAACTAAGGCAGCAATCACATCTTTATCAAAAGTTGCATACAAAACATTTAATGGACTTTATAGAACTACAGCAGTTTTCTCTTTCATTAGATCTATGCAAAACACCTCCTTTCTTACTGTAGTATAAATTCAAAATAATGCTACCGAATTCTGTGATGATGAGAATAATTCTGGAAAATAGGTGCTTTAAGAATGAAATCTATATCCTATTAAAACCACTGGGAGGCTATCCACTCACTTGAGTCTCTATTTCCATAATTACAAATAGACACATCTTGTGCATAAGATTTTAGATAATTTCTAATATATGTAAAATGCTATCCCATGGGATATCACAGTAAGTATTTCCATTATTTTTGTATTTCAGTCATTTCATCTTTTGCATACATATACAGTTTAATCCCTCCTTTTTACCTCTCAAATGTAATATTGTATAAACGAATTCCTTTCAGTCATTCAGTCTCATATTGAAGAAATGTGGAATCCCACGCAGGCCTGTAGTGTCTCCAGACATATTCTTCATTTCCCTCTGAAGCTAACAAACATAACTGTCTTATCTCCATCCTCCTCATTACTATGGCTTCATTTCTGCTTTTTCCTTTCTCATAGTTATTATTATTTGGTAATATATAAAAAAAATACATAAATAAGATTCTTCAAATTCTTTTTCCCCTGGTCTTAATTGTTTCAGAGGCTCATCACCTTGATAGAATGAAACTATTTGTATATTCTTCCCTTGTCTTTGTTCTCCATCCTTACTTTTATTCTCAGAAGAAAAAAAAAAAAAAAAGAAAAAAAAAGAACCTTTTTTTTTTTCACGAGATCACATAGTCTAATTATTTTTGATGTTTTGTGCATATTTTATTTTGGTGGCCCTATGTGGTGTCTCTGTTTCCCATATTTACTTGTAAACTCTTTTGTGTGGGGTTAAGGCATAGCGTCTGTACATGTTCAAATTTGTGTGCATGACAGTTACTGATAAAGATTCAGTATTGCTTTAGCATTAGTGTTAAACAGTGTTTAAAAGTAGTTTTACTGAAAATAGCAGTTGTATTGAAATTTGAATTTAATTCAAATTTAAGCCCAGTGGTCGGTGGAATGAAGACTGTGGATACTGTAATTGCTCATTCAACACCACAGTAAATCAAAAACACCACAGCTTTTCAAATTAAGGATAGTAACCGAGACCTTTCTGTTAGCTAAAAAAAATAAAAGATCTGGTGATTATTCTCTTTCACAAGCACATGTGCATATTTTTAAGACTTACTGGGAAAAGAAATTCATTAACAGGATAACATATATCATATTTATCTGTTTGTTTGTTTTTTTTTGGGGGGTGGTTGTTTTTTTTTAGAAGATTACAGCTAAAAATAATAGTAAAATGCATATAATAATATGCAAAACAAATTATTTTCCATCTAGCTTAAACAGTAAATTGTAAGTATTCACACTCATGTTGAGTAGAATACTGAACTGTATTCAATCTAGTAATCTGAATTTGGCCTTGTCCCTAGAAAATGATCATCTGTTAGCTTTACTTCATATGTAGCATAGTAAAATGAGTGATGTTATGAAAGTAATGTTATCGTGTAGATGTCCCTGTGAATTCTATAAAATAAAGAGATAAAAGAATATAAAATTGAGGGAAATTTTCTAAAGTGTTTTTATTTCCTTCCTTTAATCTCCTTTAAAAATGGAGAAAATCACAAAAGAGACTATGATCTCAGATTGTATGGGTGACAATTGGTATATTAAGCTACAGGACATAAAAGAACAGTAAACATGAAACTGTTAGTTTAGAAGATTAAAGGATATTCCTTCCTCCTCTAGAATATCCTTTCTTCCCTGGAAAGTTTTGTGAAACATGTGAAAGGGGCAGACAAGGAAGTGGTGAGGTCAGTTTTCATTTCAGTTTTATGTACAGTCAGAAAAAGTTAAATAGGTTATATGTTATATGTTATACAAAATGTGCAGTCTTTTATTTTTTACTGGAGATTAAGAAACAGAGAGGATAGAGGACAGGACATAAGAGAGAACACTGTAAGCCTCATAAAGTCACAGAGTAATTTAGGTCAGGAGAAACAGAAGAGCATCTACATGTATTCCAAGTGCTTGCATAAACACAGCTTACCTCAAGGTAGATGGGAATGCTTTGTCTTGCTGAGTTTTGAATATCTCCATGGAAATATCACACTTTAAACAGTTTTAATTTCTGTCCACCTTTATGTCCACCTTACACAATCTAAGTTTATGGCTGTGGAATTTAAAATATCTAAGGGAAAAAAAAAGAATGAGGGAGTTTAGTTAACTTACCCACTCCCAAATCCGTGTTAAAACTCTCAGTGTAGACATTTATGTTAGGTTAAAACCTAACTTCACTTAGGTTTTTAATAATACTTTCCACCTACTTTGCTAAATTAGTATGAGGAAGAGGAGTATAGTATATCTTCTCATATATTTAATGCTTCCTTAGAATGGATCCACACCCACTTTGGAAACATAGCTAATGCAAAGGATACTTACACATCACAGCCTTTACTTACATGACATTTTTCTTTCTGAAGGTTTTTTACTGATCTGAACATAGAAATTGTAGCATATGTTTTTTTTCTGAGGCTTGGAAAAAAACTGTCATACATGACTGCATTACATGAATTGTTTACAACTGCCTGTTGCATCTAAAGCTGTGTTTCAATGTTTATATAACATAGAGTGTTAAATTAAAATTGCCTGTACACATACAAAAAATATAAAAGGCAACATGGATTTACGTGGACATAAGACTACCATGCTTCATTTAAACCTTAAAATCTAACACAATTTAACAGAAAAATAATAAAATAAAATAAAATAAAATAAAATAAAATAAAATAAAATAAAATAAAATAAAATAAAATAAAATAATAATAAATCCAAAGTGGTATGAAATAAGAAGCAAAGATGTATTTATTCAACTCTAATTTATGTGACATTTTTACATAGTTGTCCAGATTTCTTAAAACGTATCTTAACCAAGAGACTAGTACTGATTTTTTCATAATGGGATTTTTAATAATAATAACTATTTTATTCTTTATTTTTACATCTAATCTCATAGTCCTTGTTATTAAGAAAATGAATTGTGTTAGTTACATTTGAGAAGAAGAAGTGACGTTATGTAGAGGTGTGCAAATTGTGGTAGGAACTTTAAAATAATTTTGAACTATAGACTTGCAGAAAATCAGAAACTGTAATATAAAATCAGCACTTGCCTGTCATTCACAAAGATGAAAATGCAAAATAGACAGTCTCATTTCAGCACTGCTCAATAATAAATCAACAGGGCAGACATGACTCAGAGTCTGCTCATAAATTAGTTGTTTGACAAGGAACAAAGAATCGCAAGGAAAGGAAAGGCAGAAAAGAAAAAAGGAGAGAAGAAAAAATGGACCTCATGTGACTTTCTGCTCTATTATTCTTAGACAATTACATGAAATATTAAATAGTGCAATTACTGGCAAAAAAAAAATAGCATTAAACAAACATGCTATAATGGATTATGTTATTGCAATCAATACTAGATCAGCTATAAATTGATGTAAGTTCATTGCTGTTGTGACTTTATTCCATGAGATACAAAACTGGACCCAGAGATATGATTGCCCCATTGCACTTACTGCCAATTATTATGAGAACTGAGCTAGGTATTCTTTATTGCTACTGATAGCAATAACAGAAAGGAGAAAAAAAAATCCTTGCATTAAGGATATACATGGACCAAAGTTACTTGCAATAGAAATCTCACATTACATCTACAGTCAACATGCCCAGATTTGTCCATTTACATTTGAGGAAACTGGTGTTTCATTTAGAGATAACAATTAAGAGGTTACACCACACAGTACAAACCCAGACCCGTCACATTGAAGTTAGAGTTAACTGTGGTGTTAGATGGAGGATGGCAGTATGCTCTCCTCTGCCTGCTTCAGTACCCGTAGGAAATAGCCTTAATCCTTAACTCATTCAGATTTTTTCTGTCCCATTTTATGCAGTTTAAGATAAAGAAGAAAGGAATCAATCCTCTATTATCAATGGAAACATTGTTTCTGAAGCTCCTTCCACATTAAGATACTTTTAAACATTTCCAGGAATTAATGTCTCTAAATGCAGAAAACAAACAAAAAGGCAAAAGTATCAGACCTGAATAGTGTTGCATATATGTATATAGAAAGATCACAGAATCACAGAATTTAAGGGACCTTGAAAGATCATCGGGTCCAACCCCCCTGCCAAAGCAGGTTCCTTAGAGCAGGCTGCCCAGGTAGGCATCCATACAAGCCTTGAATATCTCCAGAGAAGGAGACTCCACAACCTCCCTAGGCAGCCTGTTCCAATGCTTGTCACCCCCACCATGAAGAAGTTATTTCGCATGTCAGTGCGGAACTTTCTGGGCTCTAGCTTGCAGCCATTGCCCCTTGTCCTATCCCCACAAACCACTGAGATGTTGGCCTACATCCTTCTGTCCCCCACCCCTCAGATATTTATATACACAGAGGAGATCTACTCTCAGTCTTCTCTTCTCCAGGCTGAACAGACCCAGGTCTCAGCCATTCTTCATAGGGAAGATGCTCCAGGCCCCGTATCATCTTTGTGGCCCTCCGCTGGACTCTTTCCAGGAGATCCCTGTCTTTCTTGTACCGGGGAGCCCAGAACTGGACACAGTACTCCAGGTGAGGCCTGACCAGGGCAGAGTAGAGGGGGAGGATCACCTCCCTTGACCTGCTGGCCACGCTCCTTTTAATGCACACCAGGATCCCATTAGCCCTCTTGGCCACAAGGACACAGTGCTGGCTCATGGTCAACCTGTCGTCCACCAGGACCCCCAGGTCCTTCTCCTCAGAGCTCCTCTCCAGAAGGTCATCCCCCAGCCTGTACTGATACTTCAGGTTGTTCCTTCCCAGGTGCAGGACTCTACACTTGCTTTTATTAAATCTCATTTGCTTTTATTAAATCTCATCTTATTAAATCTCAAGATATACTTTAAGATCTGTAAATTTATTTTTTTTTCGAGGAATGAAATGGTGTCATAGTTATAAATGACATACTATAATTTTAGGTAAACTGAATCATAGTATTGTGCTTAGATATGAAATCACGCAGTTTAATTAAGTATGAAGGTAAAGTCATTTAAATTAATTTAATTTAATTAATTAATTTAAATTAATAATTAAAGCCATTAAAGTCATAAGTGAGGATTTTGCAGATCTGATTTATTTAAAAAAAAAAAACAAACAACAATAATCTCTTGAAATCTCTTCTATGCATAAGGATAAGATCTAATCTCTTATAAATTCACAATTCCACCTTAGAAATAAATTTTAATCAGTGAAACAAAGATAAAAAATCTGTCATATCAATGTGCATAATGCTAGACTGAAAATAAAATAAAGCGGGAATTAATATCATGATTTCTGTGATTGGTATTAGCATTCAGCATTTGCTAGTTTAGCAGCAAGATAGCACTTCCAGCTAGTACCAAAGCCTACAAAGCTGCACTGTACAGGATGGGGCTGAGTTGAAATTTAAATAGCTAGTAAGAATAAAGAATCTTTTTAGAACCTTGCCTGAATCTTAAACACATTTGCAGTGTCATACTAGGGAAAACTGTGAAGAAGGCTAAACAAGTGTGAGTTCCAGTAGTATAAAATCCAAACTGGTAATCAGTTTTTCAAATGTGTCAAACTGAAGTAATGTTAGGAGGGTATATGGGGTGGCATCAACACTACTGTTAAGAAATAAGCATGTCCTGACTTTATGTTCCCACCTTGTGATCAAAAAATTGTGACAACTGAAGTGTTAAAAATGTAATGAGAGAGAGATGAAAGTGAAAAAGGGATTTTTGAAGTGTAATAGGCTCAGTTAAGAACTGAAAAGTATGAGAATGGCTACAAAAATTAAATAATTTATGTTTACTGTAGCAGTGCTGATACTAACTGCTTTGTTAAACCTCTGAGCATGTCCAGGAAAAACAAAACATTATAAATTTAGATTTAGTTGGGACCTCATTAAATTATTATGCACCAGGATGCGTCATTTGTGAGGTGTTTCATTTAGCATTATATTTCTTAATCCAGCACAAGCACACGGGACTGATCTAGTCAGCATGCTGAGTACAGACCTGTCAGGATCAGTGCATCATAATATGGCCAGCCATTTTATACTGATACAATCTGATGGTAACTGGAGACAATGTTTAAAGCATCTGGGTGGGGGAAATAACAGGTCCACACCCCCTCTTAGCACATGCTCAAAGATACTTTATTTTCAGTGTGGGATCTAATAGGTGTGACATATTTCTGCCTATTCTTTTTGCATATCAACATGTTTCTATGAATCAGTGGAGCTCGTTCTGTTAGACTGACTCAAAGGTGATATATTTCAAAAAAGGTCTGCAGCTCTGCGGCTTCCAATATCCAGAATTTATGGGTAGAAGCAAAACCCATTTTATTTTTCTAAAAGAGCCTTAACGTTAAGTGCCAGAAGGGTGAAAGGGCCTGCAGGCATGAGCAGCTGAAGTTGTCCTTACGATGTGTGGTCACTAACCCACAAATAGTCCACAGGTATCAACTATGACGTGTGGAGAAGAGTCAGAGTACAGACTGTTCATATGTCCACTCCCTGATCGCAGTGCCCTAAACACGATCAAGAGATAAACAAATTTTCCATTCTCTTTAAGGAATTATTAACCTTTTAGTTGCAATCCAGATATATCCCTGTGCATAATTCCTACTGAAATGAGAATCTGAGGCACAAAAAAAGCAGAGCAGGAGGAGCAACCCTTATCCCAGAGTATACCATGTAACTGGAATTTGCATTGGAAGATAACACACAAGGTGAAAAAGCAGTGAAGGGAAGTTTACAGCATGAATATCTATCTTCAAGGAGCTTCTAAATAGATATTTGTGCTGTTTAGTTAAACAAAATTTCTTAAAGGACAAGAGTAGTTCAGGAGGCATTTTGGAGAAAATCTTGCTTTTCTCAATTCTCCTATCACTGTCTGCTTTCTCCAGCTTTTCATCCAGAAACCAGACCTCATAATTTGCCCATATCCATGGCTATCACCTGTCTTTCCCCAGATTCCTTTCCACCATCTATCATATGAGTTGTTTTCTTTTATAATCTAAATGTAACTTGCTAAAAATAAACAACATCTAATAGCCCAACCTAGAAGAAGACAAACAGAAACAAAAAAAAAAAAAAAAAAGTAAGATGCAATGAAATTATATATTTTGGCAAGATAGTAGGGATAAAAAGACAGCACCTCAGCTTGTTGCCAGTAAAATGCTATTTTTGCTGGGTAGATGAGTAATGATTGCATTGGTAAACTCAGTCGCGTCTGTGAGGGGTTGCAAGAACTTTAATGTTCTGGGTGGTTAGCATGGTGAGTTGACAGGAAAAGCAAATGAATGAGCAGCCAGTACTATTATACTTAAATATCAAGGCCAAGAAATACATAACTCCTGTACTTGCAGTTGTTCAGCTGAACTGCATGGATATAGTGAAACATTGTAGTGTCTGGATTGGGACAGCTGGTTAGTCTGTCAAGTACCCTGGTGCTAACACGATTCAAACTGGTTAGTCTGCCCAGGTGAATTAGCAGGGAAGCGTGTGTGTTCCGGGAAACCCAGCACAAGTAGAAAATTCAGAGTGCTGGGAAACCCAGCACAAATCTGGAAGTGACAGCAAATAGCTGGACATTGTTACAGGAACAGGTTGAGACAGCTGTTGGGAACAGGAGAGCCTTAGATGTATTATTTCTTTTGTCTGTGGTTTGCTGTTGTCCCATAAGAATTTTCACAGTCAGGATCAGAGCATGAAAAATGGGATGGTGCTTGTCAATATAGAGTAGTTATGAAAAAAAATAAATATTATTTATGCATTTTTTATGTTGTAAAGAAGAAATAGCAGAAAACATTAGTTTAATTAATTATTAATAATATCTTTAGTATTAGTTTGTGAATTACAATAAATACAAAGCAATACATTAAGCCCCTTGAAAAGTGAAACTTTGTTGTTGTTGTTTGTTTGTTTTTTCACATGGCATATTTACCTTAAGACTTCATGTTGCTGTTTTCTATATTAGCACATTAGTTCCTTACATCTTAATTGTCTTACTCCACTTCTAGAAAAGAAAAAAAAAAAGTTTAAATATCTGACACAGACTTTTGATTATTCTTATCACTACAATTGATTTCTGTTGTCCAGATGACATCTTCTAATCAAGTGGAGCTGACTTAATAACATTGCTTAAGTTTCCATACTTGATTTTACTCTCTTTTTTATTTATTTATTTTTTTCAGTTTTCAAAATAAAGAGTTATCAAGCTCCTGCTTTAAGATATCAAGGCTGTCACACTGAATGCTAGGTTTATTCTTTTGTGTATTTCCCAGGTGGATTTCAGAGTGGCAGGGATGAAAAGACACTTTTTTGAAATGGTGAGACCTTTGTCTCACCTCCATAATACAATGAAGGTTTTCCAAACTAGAAAAAACAACTTTAGAAGGGGTAGAAATAAAAGAAAGAAAAATACTAACTCAACAGCTGACAGCAGGGTGAAGAAATTCTTCATGTCAAATTAAATTTCCTTTTTGATAGGTAATGGCATTAAAGAATTGTTAGTTATATTTTTATACTAGCTTGGAAAATATGATGTTATTTCTTTACAGACAGCAGCTGGAAAAACATGACAGTCCATTTCAAACACTTTTTTTATCAAAGATTATTTTTACTGAAATGAAACTTTGCTAATTACAGTACCTTAATAGAGAACCGTAGCATTGTTAGAACAATTTAGTTCAAGATAAAATTATTTCCTCAGAAATTAGTGGGACTAGGTTTAATGATCATTCCATCAAAGGTTTTTTAGTCATGAACCAGATCCATGTTTAAAATAGTGCATGCTGTAATGAGATTTCACAGCTGTGGATGCTTGCATAGATACTACCTAGAGTTACTGGGTGCAGATTCATTTGGTTTGAATTCCACATGTTCCTGTGGTCAAGATGTCTCTAAAAAACAGGAGGGAATATTACTCTCAATGACTTACTTGGTCATTACTATCTGTCTTTGGGACCTACCTACTACTGTGAGCAGCATCAAATAAATGCATTCAAAAGGAGGAACGTTAGTATTTCTTATGCTGGACCAAAGTCTGATTCTTTTTCTGTATGTTATTAATCCATACTGAAACATATTGATAGGGGTTTCCTTTTTGCAGTGCTTTCCCACCTCAGGTGCTCATTAGCAAGTGATTTGTACAGTATAACTCAGACCTCCTGTATCAAGAGTCTTTGTCTAACCTTTTGTACTCATGTAATACTCTTATGTATTATGTACTCTTATGTGTTATGTTAGGACATTGTGCTTATAGTATTTCCTTCCTTTCATCTTTATATGGCTGGATTCAATATCCAAAAGAAGAGAAACTGTTTCTGTTAAAATTCTATTCAAAACTTTAACAGAGGTGAATCAAACACATAGGTTTTGATCTTTCCTAGTGATCTTGTTCATTTTTAAGGTTTTGCATAAGGTTTTAGTTAAAAATACTTAAGTAAGATAAAGGTTCATTGCATGACATTTGTCTGGTTATGCTGCCGTTCAGGACATTAATCAGCATGTACTTAACATACTATAAATCAGAATGGGAGAGGCAACAATCATATCTTGCCCTGCATTTTAAAGGCTAGAGTTAGCTGAGGAGTTAAGATTTCTATGCCTCAAAATTGCTATGTGCTTAGACCAGCATCTTGTTTAGGCCTATAGATATATGCATTGGCAATATCTAGAAGAAATAATGGACTCCATTAGCTTCAAGGGAGAGATTTCTTTCCAACTTCCATTTGACTTCTATCTATGTTGTTGATTCTAGAGTATATGTGTAATCTTCCATAGTAAATTAACGATGAGAACTTGACTATTATATCTATTTTGAGATACATGTTAAAGTCCCATGATAGCACCATTTGACAGTTTTTAAGGGTTAATCGATAAATAAGATTACTTTTTTTATTTCTTCAGTTGAACGCTGGCAGATTTAAAAAAATAATAATTAAGAAAAGAAAGGAAAAGGAAAAGGAAAAGGAAAAGGAAAAGGAAAAGGAAAAGGAAAAGGAAAAGGAAAGGAAAGGAAAGGAAAGGAAAGGAAAGGAAGGAAAGGAAAGGAAAGGAAAGGAAGGAAAGGAAAGGAAAGGAAAGGAAAGGAAAGGAAAGGAAAGGAAAGGAAAGGAAAGGAAAGGAAAGGAAAGGAAAGGAAAGGAAAGGAAAGGAAAGGAAAGGAAAGGAAAGGAAAGGAAAGGAAAGGAAAGGAAAAATGAGAATACATATTAAGTCAGAGAGTAAAAGCCCATGAATATCACAATCCCACAGGAAAATGCAGTGAAAAATGAGCTGTGAATTTTCTCCAAGCATCATCCCCAACCCACCTCTCTCTCCCACCCTCTTCTGATTTTAGGGCAAATGAATAAGAGATCTCAAGAGGCGAAGGAAAATTAATTGTTGGCAGTAATTATTCATCACCCTACAGAATTCACAGAGGAAATGTACTGCATGCAGATTTCTTAAAAAGTTATTTTGAAAATTAATTATAATGAATACTGTTTCCTATTATAATGTAAATAAAAAACAAGATTTTCCTCACTTATATGTCTGATGGGCTATTCTCTCCTCAGAGAAGATACTATTCTCACTGGACAAGTTCCCAAATCAATAGCTTAGATGTGACCTACCTGAAACTAGAGAAGTTTAGATCCTGATATTAACTTTCTAATTAACTTTCACCTTTATAAAACTGGGTTAACACTTGAAATACCTACTAACTATTGAGGAGATTTATATCTAGAGTTTAACTGTGCTTTCCAGGAACCTCTCCATGTCTCTACTTCATAGAATCATAGAATCATTGAATCATTCATGCTGGAAAAGACCTGTAAGATCATCTAGTCTTTAACCCAGTACTGACAAGTCCACCACAAAACCATGCTTCCTACAGGTTTGCACACCTGATTCTGAGGTATTGTGGTTTAACCCAGCAGGCAGCTAAGCATCGCAGAGGCATTTGCTCATTCCAGTAACAGTGGGATAGGTGAGACAATAGGAAAAAGTCATGGGTTGAGATAAAGAGAGTTTCATATAACAGAAAAGGAAGGGAAATTATTATTATTAATAATAATAATAATAACAACAATAAATTGAATATACAAAACAAGCAATATATAGTGCAATTGCTCACCACCCATTGACCAATGCCCAGTCACCAGGCAATTTCCCCAGTTCTATTGTTCAGCATACCATATGCTATGGATATCCCTTTGGTCAGTCTGGGTCAGCTGTCCTGGTTGTGTCCCCTCCCAGGTTTTTATGCATCCCCAGCCTCCTCGCTGGCAGGGCAGCAGGAAAAGCTGAAAAGTTCTTGCCTCTGTCTAAGCACTGCTCAGCAACAATTAAAACAGTGGGGTGACATCAACATTATTTTTCTACTCAGTCCCAAACATGGAACTATACAAACCACCATGAATAAAATTAACCCTATCTCAGCTGAAACCAAGACAGATATATGGATCAGAAATGCTGCAGGATTTACTTTGTTCCTCTGGTGAAGAATATTGACTGGACTCACTAGACTATGGGCAGTGTTCTGCTTAAACATTTTTATACTAAACAAAAAATAAAAAAAATCTATTAGCATAGGTATGGCTAGATTTTCACCACTTATTTTCATTTTTCCGGACACTTTGTAAGACCTGCTTCTACTACAGGAAAGAGATGTTAGGAAACAATTTAATCCTAGCACAGCACAATGTTAGACTCATACTTCTCAGTCACAGGTGAAGCATAGAGATGATACATACAGAGGCTAGGAAGGGGGAATAGCATTACCCTAGAGCTGACATAAAATACTAATTAATGACAAGGTAAAATAAGAAGTTTGTGAAATGAAAACAAGCTATCCTCAATCCAGCCCCATCATACTAGCCTGGAAGTGTGATTTACACTTTTTCTAGAGAAAATAATAATAATAATAATAATAATAATAATAATAATAATAATAATAATAATAATAATAATAAATAATAATTCTTAATTGTGGGGAAGCATGGGAGAAGGTGATGGTGCAATGGTGCAATGCTGGAACTTCAACGAGGTTCTTTGCTAGTTTGCCCTCCAATGCTCTTCTTTCATCACTACGGAAAGGATGCAAGCACCAGATTCCTTTTGAAGCAATGAAAGGTTAAACTTTTAGATGAGGTATTTGGCGTTATATTTCAAGACTAAAATAGTATACAAAGCATTAGCAAAGGCAGAGATTTATTGTGTGAAAAGTACAATCTCTTGTATTAGTAAATCTTCAGAAAAACTGAGCCATGTTTCTAACAAAAGTAAAAAAAAATACAAGTGTCAGGGATGGAAATGGGAAGATTTCCTATTCTTGATGTACACATGGTGTATATGACTTGCCTGTGTTTGAGAGTTATCAGTTTGCATTTTCTGTGCCTTGGAAACAGATCACAGCTTGAAATGCCATTTTAGCCTAAGAAAGGATGGCAAGCTTCTTCATAGCACCACATATACATGAATTGTGCTATTCTTTTTATTCATAGAATTAATTGCTTTTTAATTTCTCTTTTGCTTTGTTTCATGAAAAATGGTTGTATTGAGTGTAAAAAGCCTCATTTTTCTACCTACTGCAGGCAGAGGAAGAAGTATGTAAAGTTCTCTCTCACATCTCTGAATCTGATCAGCTGACTCAGATACAGCTAGTACCAGCAGTTCCATTCCTTTTTTTTTATTCATATTTTATTTTATTTTGTGAGCCATGACTGACTTAATATCATCACCTCTGTCTAGAAAGGGTTCATAATTACAAATTTTAAATGGAAAGAAAAATTTTCTCCAGTTCAGAATTAGGTATTCTGAGGGACAGACCTTCAGTATTACCTTTTTACTCAGCTTTCTTTGTGGCTAACTGTCTCCTCACTCACAGGAATATTTCTGTGAAACTCTAAGCACCAAATTCATGTGGAATGTACATAACCCTTGAATGCTAAATATTCATGAAGGAAAGTACACTAAAGAAACTGTATTGGAACAATAAGTCTAAATCTCTTCTGAGATTTAGCTCT